AAAAAAAAAAAAAAAAAAGGCTCACTGCATTTTTATGTAAGTTTTTCCCCCCCAGCTGTGAGTCTGCTATCACCCTTTAGCAAGAGAAGGACTGTGATTTGGAATTTTCATGAGGAAGACATTGCAATTAATGTTTGTATATGCTTTGGATGTTAATTGCAGAGTCAGCACATAAGTCAAAAGCGTCCTGCTTTCAGCCACAGAGCAATCTGCTCTTGCAGAGACCTACAGACTCTTTCATACATCCGCTCTTTTAACCTTCAATGGATTCCATATGCCGACATCTACTCTTTTATGGCATTGCTGACATTTATTTATTTATTTGTATTATTTGTCCCTGATACTTCTCTTGCACTCACAAGTAATTCCTCTACTTGTCCCTTATTGCTTTTCTATGTCAACCTAAAAGGGCTTTATCTGATGTTTAGTCACATTCCTATGTTAGAATAGCAAGCGTTTCAACCAGTCTTGTAAGATATATAGTCTAAGCCTCTGCTTGATGCAGAAAATTCAAAGCTAAAGCCCAAACGTAATTGTCCGTGCTGCCCATTGTCCATTGTCTAACTGCTTTTCCTTATGTATTAAACCATTGCTTGCTGTATCCAATTGTATGTATCCAAAATCTCCCCTTCCGTAACTTATGTCCATTAAATTTAGTCTTGTCATCTGGAATAGAGGGATAGAATGCTATACAGTTATCTAAGTCAGAATGGATATTATATGGACGTGCTGATCTTGTTTAGTTCCTGCACCACCATTTTCAAGGGTAGTTTCTCTGACTGTCCTAGAGCAACTTGTAAGTGGAACAGCAAAAGGCAAAATGTAATGAAATCAATTGAAAAGGCATATTGGAAGCTGCTGGTGGCATGTGGGACTTGGTTGCTTCTCATGGGAAGCAGAGTATATTTTTTGTGCTGTTTCTTACCTAGAATTTCTGAAGCATGTGGATCAGTATTCCCAACATGGCACAGTCAGGTTGTAAGATGAGGAAACACAAGGCTTGTCATCTCTGACGAGTATGACCATCTGAAGGCTGCCAAATTGGGGGGTCTGGTCTGGAGAAAGGAGGGAACTCCACAATTTAGTCAGTCTGGACCTGTTGTTATCAGGAGACTTCTGAAATATTTCTGATGGTTTGAAGAGTATGAAAGCAACAGTGAGTTTTATGGCATTACAATGACTAACAAATTAATTATGTCATCAGATTTCATGGATCATAGTCCATGTCATCAGTGCTGTATGAAGCGTAGTCCTAAGACATTGATATTATATATAAACAAAGTTATTGGTGGGTGCAGGGAGAAGCATGGAGAGGAGAGAAAGGAAGCTAGTGGTGAAAGGAACTGTGAAAGCTATGTAGCACCATCAGAAACCTTGATCTCTTTTAATCCTTGAGAAATAATATCTTTGCCTTTCATCACATTGATGCATTAAACAGCCTATATGGTATGAAGGTTGTTTTGAAACTAGTTTTTTCTCTGTGGAGCAAGACTGAGGAAACTCTACTCTTCCTTTTGTTACAGAATTTCCCTCAGCATTGTCCATACTGGCTGGGGCTGTTGGCCTTCCCATTTGGAAAATCGTTCCAAATGAAATAAAATGTGACTTAAGCATGACTCTAGGAAGGGGCCATAGTTTTGTTGCAGAATATTTACATGCAGAAGACCATTGGTTCAATTCCTGACATCTCAAAAAACTCTGGGGAAACACTGAAAATCTGCTTTAACAGTGCTGGCTTGAGAAACTCATGGTGTAAATCAGGGGTTCTTAAATTGGGGATACATGCAGAAGACCATTGGTTCAATTCCTGACATCTCAAAAAACTCTGGGGAAACACTGAAAATCTGCTTTAACAGTGCTGGCTTGAGAAACTCATGGTGTAAATCAGGGGTTCTTAAATTGGGGATAATTTAGGAATATCCTTGGGGTAATGGAGCAATTTGTAATTGCCTGTTTGTGAGTCGAGGATCCAGCTTGGGACTGCCGCTGCTAAGATGCTTCTGTAAATCAAGAGAGTCTGGGGTCTTTTTTGTGAAGGTAATTATGTTATTTGAGACTGGGAAAAGAGGTATTTGGGTTGAATTGTTTAAGAACCAGTGGTATAAGTAATAGCTTCTGATATACTCATTAGTGTTCTTTGTTACATCTCTCTGTGTTCATATAGTTCGGGACAATCAAACCCCACCTTTTTCTTGAAAAAAGGACTTAAAACCTACGTGCTTAGAAAGAAGCCTCATGGCCCACTCCTACCTCAGGCTCACAAGGTACCACACTCTTGCAATTAAATATTACTCTTACTCTTTATCTTTGTCTTGGAAATATGTTGGCAGTTTGGCATGGCATATGTTATTTGGGGAGTACTATGATTCAGTAGTGAGTAAAACTGCCATAAAACTACATTTTCCTTAATCCCCAGCTGAAAGTTGTTTATGTCCACATTCCCTCCCTCCAGCATGATTTTCATTCTAAATTCTAAATCACAAATTCTAGGATCAATTTTGATTTACTTATTCAAGGTCAGTAAAGCTGAGAAAGTATCCAGGGTCCTCAAAGCACTTCAGTTGTGGCAAATGGTCTCTGTACTGCAGTTGGCACTCAAATTCTACTAAATAAAAAGTCTAATATGTGGTTTTTTTCCATGATATAAAAATGCAGCTTTAAAATATAAGCTCCATTGTACTTATAGAGACTTACTATGGGATACACTTATGAAGGACTCTGCTATAATTGTTTGTTGAAATCCATAAGGATCAAGTACTTCAGTGAATTCTTCAGTTCTACCAATTTGAATGCAATAAACAGACTTTCTGTGGACCATAAGATCTCCTGTTCATGTTCTTAATGTCCATATTCTTGTACCTCCTACAACATTCCATTCAGGTTGACAGAGAATATCGAGTTCAGAAAGCTTTGTTTGCAGCTGGGTTTCCAGTTCCTGAACCTCTTTTATACTGTAGTGATGTTTCTGTGATCGGAACGGAATTTTATGTGATGCAACATGTTCAGGTTAGTATCCTGCTTGCAGTTACATTGACTGACTACAGTTTTAATATAAGCTGTTGGCATATTTAAACCAGAATCCAAAGAACCATGCAGTTATTATAGCATGAGTAGGAACTGAGGCCCTCTAAATCAACACTGGGCAACTTTTGTGTGGCTAGTGATATGTTTTTTCTTCACATCACAGGGTAACAACGTGTGGGCTATGGCTCAAAGATTTACAGGGTTGAGTGGGGTGAAGCAAAGCATGTTTGATCTTTCTGTGTGTGTGTTGGGGGGGCTTTAAGGGGAAAATCTTCCTTGGCTGCTGTGTATTTTAATTTTTGTATTTATGATGGAAATTTGTTTTTAATTTGTTTTAAGATTGTTTACCACCCAGAGTCAGTTGTTGAGATGGGCAGCCATAAAAGTTGAGTGAGTGAGTGAGTGAGTGAGTGAATGAATGAATGAATGAATGAATGAATGAATGAATGAATAAAATAGATTTATAGTATTTCAAGCTTTACAGTAAAAATGGCCTGCTGTGAAAAATTGTGGGACTCTCCGGGAGAGTATTTGTGGTGGTATTGGGCTAAAATAGGAAAGGGTAGTTCACAAAAATCACTCTTTACTGCCAAGGGGAAGTCACTGGTAGATCTCTTCCTGTGTTACACCACTGCTGTGAGAGCTGCACTGACTTTCTGTTGCTTTCTGGATGCAATTCAAGGTTATCACCTTTAAAGCCCTAAATGGCATGGGGCCAAATTATTTGCGGGACTGCTTCTCCTTAAGGGTGTGCACCCATCCTACCAGATCAGATCGGGTGGGTGCGCTCTAGGTCTCTTCCCTTAAATGTTGCCATCTGGTGGGACCTTGGAAATGCACTTTTTGCATGGCTATCTTGCCCCTTTGGAACAGCCTCCTCCCTGAGATTTGGAGTGCCCCCACTCTGTTAGCCTTCTGGAGGGCTGTGAATATCTGGCTCCTCACCTAGGCATTGGGCTAGGATGGAAGTGAGCCAGCAAATGTAAATGGAGAGTTGGTGGGATGTTGTGGCACTGTGGTTGGGATATATGATGCTGTGGTGAGTCACTGGGAGTCAGACAGCATACTGTATATATTTAATAGATGATGATGATGATGATGATGATGATGATGATGATGATGATGATGATGATGGTGGTGGTGGTGGTGGTGGTGGTGGTGG